GAATATTATGCATTAAGATTTATACGTTTGAGAATTTATGTTTTATCTATACATGTAAGTTTTCGAATTCGTCATAAGAATAGCTTAGATATATATATATTATTATAACAGTAACTTGATCCGAAGTGTCGTATCATGTGGAGTTGACAGGCGCGGATCATCAGATCTAACCAGACGCGAAGCGTCGAGTTTGATCTGATGATCCGCGCCTGTCAATGGGACATGATATTACGTTTCGGATCAAGTTACTGTTATTATGATAAATTTATTATATACCCCCTTATAACTAGCTAAATATAGAAAAATGAAACTTTAGAGATCAATTGTACAATATTTAAACATAAAACAAAGCATTACAACAATGGACTTTTTAACGCGTAAGAAAAATAACGTTACGTTTATGCGTACTGCGTCATCAGTTTTAGAAAGTGGTGATATGGATTCAGAAAACCACAGTGTGGTGATCCGGAAAGTCGGATCACGACGTCACGTGATTGCGTTAATTCTACAGTAAAACTGAGTGATATACGTTAGGTATATAATAAAAGAAATTATCTTCACAAACTGCTTTGATGGTGAATTCACTAATTTACCATAATATATTTAGCAGTTTGTAAAGATATTTTCTATAAGCCGTGAATAGCCATCTTCCATCTGAAGAATTTCAGTTTCTCTTTCAGGTTCCCTTTTAAATTTTGATCTGAACAGGAAATATTAAATTTTAGTTCCAAAGTTTAATAGTCATTTATTATTAGTAAGTATAAAGTTGAATATTCAATGTAACACCTTCTATTCTCAAAGTAAATTATCAAATATAAAAAGAAATGAAAACAAGATTATCATTGAGCTCTTGTTTCGAAAACAGACAATTTCATACATAAAAATAAAAAAAAATGTGTAAAAGCTAGTATCGGGTTAACTATAGGGAAACTTGGAAACATTAAACAGCTGTTAAACAGGTCGAGACCACTACCTTATATGGAAGGCAATTTTCAACACGTGACGATGTCTTCGTCACACCCGTTCTCCAATCAAGTGAATGAGCCCCAAAGCATGACAGTCTACTACGTGTTTACGATTCAATGGCGATACGTGATTTTCGTCAGTTTACTGCACAATATTTAACTCGTCACCGGAAAAACCGTAGAGCTTCTTTATCACTTTATAAGTCCGAAATCGAAAGATTATATTCCAAAGACATTGCTCCATGCTCACATTTAATATTAGAGTTGTTTTAGATGATTAATAGTTGCTTCGAATACCTTACAAACGCTTAGATCTTTGCATGTACATAAAAACTTTCTGATAATATTGAGGAGTTAAATAAGAATTGCACATCTTCTCCTGCTATCTAAAACCAAGTGAACCTATACTACCTGCTAAAACTATGTACACGTATATCATGTGGAAAAAACTCGGTGTTTTATCGACACGATAGCACCTATGCCTATATATGTCTCTTTGAACGATGGTTTAGGCCGATGTATTAGAAGTTGATATAAGGCTTCATAAAGCAAATTTTGTAAATGTGAGCATAGAAATGAAAGATAATATACATAATTTTAAATGTTTCTTTCACAAATCTCAAAAAAGAATTGAAAATAAGTTTCAAAGGCACAATTCAAGTTGCCGTTTATTTTCAACACAGTTAGGTACTTGTAGTAGCCCACAATGCGTTGCGGCTCATTCAGCAGTAGGTAAAGTAAACAGATAGCTAATTTACATGCAAATTTATGCTGACGTCAGAAAATCTAGTGGTCTCGACCTGTTAAATACTGGATGAGTTTGTATAAAGAACGCTTTTTGAGAATTTTAAATTCGCAACTTCTGTTTATTATGCCGCTAAATGCCACAGAAGTCTTGCAATTTCATGTTAATCAAATCATAACAACTTTAAAGAGTGGGTTTGCACTTTTGTTCCTACAAAGTTTTTTTTTTTAATAATGCAACGTTTTTACTACCTTGTGTATTTTATCATGTGTTGCTAGAACCCGATTATTTTTACATGAGATAAAACGTATGTAAGGGTTAGCATTTTAAGACTTGCGGAGGATATTTATTCATTATATGAGTACTTCGGCATGGTCAACGACCATTTAAAAGAGAAAATCTCTATTGCTGAATAGGTCGCTGACCCCTCTGTCTCTTGTTTAAAGTTCATATTTTTTCAACTACTAGATGTGATCTCGTTACATTTTTGATATAGTCTGGGTAAACACTTTACAAAGTTCTCTAGATGTATGAAAATATTATATATAGGCAATATAGTTTAAGAAATATTTTATTCATAATATACAAAGTGTACAATATGAATATGGATTGAACAGCAGTTCTCTCCATTTGAGATCAAGGTACAATTAACATGAATTAAATAACTGCACATATTTTAAGTTCCACAAAAAATGTATTATAAATTAATATTGAGAGAATTATAAAGAATACATAATTGAAGAAAAATTGAGGGAAAAATGCGTAAAGAAAACAATAAAATAATTTTTTTTTAATGATGGAAAAAACAAACAGACAAAAAATTAAGTAATAAGAATATGGAGAGGAAAGCTCAGACCCATACTTGAATGTTTATGTGTATATACTCTCAACCTAAAGGTCAAGATTGAAAGACATGCTGCACATTATTTAATAAATATTCTAATTCTAAAATCTTTTAGTGTTTTTTATAAAATTATGAACTTGATCAAAGAATAACATATTTTCTCTAAGAGGTAGACAATCATAACCTGATAATACAATATTGACATCTCTTGGTATGTCATGGTCATTCATGTATGTAATTAAAGAGTTCCTGGCAAAATCATAACATGGGCGTTGAAAGAAAAAATGAACAGAATCTTCAAAACAATAACCACATTTTAAGCATTTAGGTGAATCAGCTAAGTTATGATTAAACAAGTCTGCATTAAGATTACTAGAGAAGTTTCTCAACTAACAGTGGAGTATGTTTAATTTTCTTTGTCCATAATTGTATAATTTGGATTTTGTTTTATCTTCAAGATTTTTTTTTGTATATATAGGCAATATACTTATAGTTGAATCTCCTTTATTTCTGGACTTTTTTGAGGTATTAGAAATATAAATTTTATAAAAATCGAAACATTTTTATTAAAAATATATATCATTTGAAAACATGGTGTAGGCATCAATCCTATCCAATTCTTGTCATATTTGCCATTACTCTCTGACATCTACCATGACAAAGGTATATCCACCAAAGTTGTTCTCCTTATTTACGTAATGATATGTGTACTTTTACTCAATCATATCAATGAGATTTCCATGCTGCCTTTAACACTCTTGCATACTTTTAATAATTTATGTGCAATGGGTCTGCAAAAATTCACCTGATCCGATATTTCTTACTTTAGTTGATACTCGTCTTGCTTTTACTTTACTTTCCTCCAGATCCATCTGAAATTGAAAAAAATAACATCAAATTTCAGTTGTTAAATGTTTATGTGAGATGATTATATAAACCCATACTAAACAGTAATTTTTTTCACAATTTTCATTTAATTTATTTTTGGTGTTGTTGTTGTTGTTGTTCTTTTTTCACATGCAATCTCTCCAACCATTAATTTTGATTTTAAGTAGCCTACTCTCAGCTACCATGTATAATATCCAAAACCATTTATTTTTGTATTTTAAAAAAGGTTTATTCTCACAAAAGAACCTTTAAAATATGTGTGAAAAAGCAGTTTTCACAAACCTTCATCTTGAAACTAGATGTCAACGAATGTACTCTTACACTTCCTTTTTTTCCCCTTTCAACAGAGGGACCTACACATGCTATCTGGAAAAGTCAACACAATATCCAAAATCCTGCTTTATTTAAAGTTTATAATTTGGCATTTTTAAAGGTTGTTTTTACAACCTGTTTTAGACATAATCCCATCTGAGAGGGAATACACAGATTGAGAACTAGGATTGAGGACTTTTTTATGTGCCAAGCCCCCGGTCTATGTCCACATGATCACTATTATTCATATTTTTTTCTGTTATGTGCCAAATCAATCTCAAGCACTATTTCTAACTTTGTTGGGTCCAGTTCACTTACAGACTGTATTTTAATTCTTTTTTTCCATTCCATGTGGATGCAGCAGCATTTGTTTTACAGCTAACTACAATTTATACAAAGTCTACCATGTTTATATTATAAAGTATGGTTGCTTTATTATAAGGCATACTTCATCATTTTTACTTTACTCGACTCCTGACAGCAAACTAACTGCCAAAATTTAATGTACTTGTATATTTCTGCTTTTTTTCTCCTCATTAGAGTATTGTAAAAATTTAGTTAAATGTAATGATCTTATACTTTGATGTATTTAATGTTCATGCAATAAGAAATAAAGACAGAGAGAATTTTGGTCCTTACTTGTTTCCTCTGTTATGATTTATCAATTATAATTAATAATATCGATACCAGACAAGAACTTGTAAATTATTACTTTCTCTCTTTCTGTCTCTCTCTCTCTCTCTTCTTCATTTTTTTTTTTTTGGCTATACTTTTAGCGTTGTCCTCATAAATAATATTGATTATGAATGATTTTTATGCATAGCAAATATGCGTTCTTAATTAATGTAATTTTTGTAATTGAAACAATGATAAAATAGAAGTTTTGCAATTGAAAAATTAAAGCTTTGTCTTTCATATCAACTTTCATTTTTTTAAATGTACAAAAATATGCATCTTTCAATAAATTCAACGATGAAATTAAAACATTTAATTATCTTAAACAATTTAATTATTTACAATTCAGTATATGATCTTGCTTTTCAGTTACATATCTTAGAATCAAATATATGCACACTGTATTGATTACATCAGATATTGTTTTTGTTATTATTGTCAGAGAAGACTAAATTATTCTGCTTCACGGTCTATTAAATTTTAGGTATACACATAATCAATGAAATATCATTGGATAAGGTGGATACGCAATTTAAAAATGGAGGATAAGTCCCTGCTGACCATCATGAATCGTGCATTCCTCACGTTAAGGAATTACTTTTAATTATCTGGTAGGATATGGGATGAATACACAGCTTAAAATAACAAAACCAGAACGCGTGACTCGGAGGTCCAGGTAAATCAGAAGCACTGGAGTGTAGCCATTGTTGACAAACGTCTAAATCCGCGTTTTTATTCTGCGGTTTGAATTACCGATTTATGTTTCCGCATAAGCTGCACAGGCGGTTGAATGTTTGTATGAATTAAACATTTCATTCATGTTATGTTTAGGAATTATGAAAGAAGAAGGGAAGACGAAATAATAGAGGGTGTGTAAATTTACAACCTGGGTGAAATCTACAACTTCTGTTTTAATGACGTAACTAAGTTATATCACATCCGGAAGATAAATGGAATTGAACAACATGGGGTATTGGATGTGTATTACCTATATTCTGCTTTTCTTACCCTTGAAATGCATGTCCTCTTCACGCTGTTACTATTCTGATGGTCAACCTGAGGGTTATTGTCATGAGCAGACGTTTTCAGAAACTGGTCAAGTCCGTTTTGCAGCAACTATTGGGATTCACGAACCACATGGTGATCACCTGTGTGGTGACATATCCCCCAGTGGGGTCCAAACTGCTATGGCAGTCAAATGGATAGTAGACATTTTAAACGGGGCAGGGAACTTTGTCAACGCTTTTGTGCCAGGCATAAAATTGGGTCTGTATTTTTGTTGTTGTTCTTTTTACTGTTCTTTGGTACTGTGTTTAAATCATAAGTTTATCTTCAAAAAGTATTTTTTATTACATAGAAGGAAAACGATATAGTTTGTATTGAATTTTCGTTATTCAGAAGAGATGATTCAAAACATATACAGTAGACTGCATCATCATTCTAGATGGATCAATAAAAGTCCAATAGTAATTATGAGTTTAATGATGCACTTTTGATAATTTGAATATTACATCAAATCTCTTACCACTTATTGAAAACTAAAGGGTATAGTGGAATCAATATATCAACTTTGGTAATTGTCGATTTTATATACAAATATCCAAAAGAATGTGAAAAAAATCATTTACCATTTTTTCTCAACAATTATTTAAATATCCTTTTTTCTATTTGACACAAATTTGAAAACATCTTTTTTTATCTTTTACGTACTCAAAGAAACGTGCCAAGAAATTAAAAAAGACACGTGTTTATCAAAACTTCAACATTTTGGAAGAATTAAAATAACAGATGTATGAAAAAATATCAAATAATACATAATTTTAACATCTGCAATTTATACATTTGTTAGCAAGTTAAACCCAAAGATTTTGAACTTATTTTATTTTTTTAATATATCTAATCGCTACCAAAGATGTGTTATAAATTTTGTTATCAAAAATCAAACCCAGGATTAGATTTTAATTTTGAAATATATTTTTGTTGAAATTATGTCAATGTGGGATGAAAAGCAAAATTGAAAAAAATAAATTGTAAGGTTTTTTTTAAAACATAAATTATAAAGAAAAACTTTCTCCAAATCGTTTTCTTTTTTATGTTTTTGCAAGATTTACCAGAATTCCTTTTGTATGGTCTAACAAGTTTAAACAAAAAAAGATTAATCCATTATGAAAATATATTCGTTGACTTTGCATCTTATATAATAATTACATTTAAAGCTATAAATCACTTGCTAAATACACTTTTGATTTTGCAATTGATTTTCAAAAAAATCCCTTCTTATAATAAGAAACATGATAAATTGTGTTTTAGGCTGGTAGTTATTAGTACCCTTTGTAAAAAACAAAACAAATAAGAATGAATTAATCTAGAAAAAAACATAATTTTTATGAAGGATTAAAGTAAATCATAAAAAATCTAAGTTCATCTTAACAATACCAATTATTTTTTCAGGCACTTGTTTTTATAAGTCATTTTTCTCGTTTTTTTAATAACTAATTTTCCTCACCTTAGCCTAAAATTTATAATAACTGTTTCAAAATGCACTCACATATGGCTTCATTCATTATAAATTACTCATATTTCAAAAGCATTACGCAATGTAGAAATGTTTTTGTTTGTAAAGAAGAAAATTACTGCTTAAAGGTGCATTTAACTATACAGAACCTAAAGGGTGTACATCGTATTTTTTCTTTCCTTTTTGCAAAAAATATATACTAGGCAATTGTAAACTTCAAAAGAAATATTTTACTTAATTTTTTTTTTAAATTATGTTAATCATATTATTTATCGTGATGTGTGTCATACAAAAGAATTCTACTACATATATATATGATTAAATAGTCAAGCTCAATGAATCTGTGTTATGGTCTAAAATTAAGTTAATATATATATTATATGCCATTTTGATATCTAAACTATTTTTCTCATGCTTGACCTGATTCTAGCAGAAAGGTCAACTAAACTCATTCATTTAACCTTGTAACGTATGTGGAAGGTCACCTTGAAAAGAGAAATACTAGAGTAGAACAAACACGGTTTCTTAAACAATTTCATTTTTGTACCTTTCATAGTGTCAGTGGTTATCAGTAACAAAAGTAATATAAGCTTTGAATGACCCCTATCGTTAAACTGGGATATTTATAATTTTTACTATGGATCAGAGTAAACACATTATTTAGAAATTTCAAATTCTTCTCTTCAGGAGAAAAATGATATTGTATTATTCAGTGCAAGCTAGTGTCAAAGGATGCTAAAATAATATACGTAATAATGGTTCAAGCAATGACTCTTAACTACCATTAATTACCTACTATATTGGCCTTTAGCGTAAGATTGGTAACATACACGGTTTAGACTTTATCTCTATACACTTATATCATATTTGCAGATTTCATTTATTTTAGCATATATAATTATGGTTCAATGGGCCAATTTATACTTCGTTTGAATTTCAAGTAAACTTAATAGTAAAGTAAGATTACTACTAAGCACAATTATGTAATCTTATGTATTTTTTTAGGTTATGACATTTATGACGATTGTGGGATTATATCACGTTCAACTGATGGCGTTTCAGAACACGTTCCAAACACAGATCCTAATATTTCTTTGAAATGTGATGATCAATGTCCATCGACACAACCACCATTTTTAGGTATATACCCTCATGTAGATAATTCGAATTCTTAAGGAATGAAACGAAATTTATTTCTTATCTTTCTTCAGTTTAAAAGAAATAAACACATAAGGTATTTTTCTGCATCAAAACATTGCTTTTTTTTTTTAAACTTAAAAAATTCCATAATAGACCTTAGAGTTATTTAAAATTGATTTTTAGTTATAGTAAAACTACTTTTACTCTGGACTTTACATTTATCGTTTTCATTAGACAGTAGTAGATTAAAAAAACAACAGTCCACATTATTAGATAACATGTTAATCTTTATGTAACACTGATGCTAGGGTTGCTGAGTTCAAGTACACCAGAGGCTACGTCTGCTGCCCTCTCTGTACTTTCCCCCGCCATCACAGGCGTGACGTCCCAGTCGAATTACAAAGAAATAAATGACAGACGATTGATGTTTACATTGCCAGAAGAAGAAGAAATCAAGGTAAATTAACAAATATGTATATTATGAGTACGTAAAACTATAAATATATTTTTTAATACTTTATAAAATATAAACAAAAATAATTAATATAGTTGGGTTTGTAAGAGTGATAAAAAAAAACTATAAAGAGCAAAAATAATAGATTGTGGGTATTATTTTTTGTATGTTTTATTTCGGTAAAAGTATTCATTCAGAAACATTTTTGAATATAGTGTACAAACATTTATGGCATAGAATTAAAAAAAATAGAACTGACTCATCCTATATGTACATTTACATGTATATTACCTTTTAATAGACAAAATGTACATTAAATACCGTATTTCACGTCAAGACAAGCATTATTTTTACGTTATTTTACATCACTCATTTCGATTTTATTTAAAGATCATTCTTAAATTCTTTTGCATAAAAATCACATAAAGAATATTCCAAAACTCTGATTGTAAATTTTTTAGCAAATATCCGCCTTGATATATCTGTGCATAACATCTTAGATCACTTTGAATTTTCACGCTTTTATGCATTGAATAGACATAGAGGAGCTTCTAGAAATTTGATTTGATTTCTTTGAAAATGTAAATTTGTTTGTTCTTTCACTCCTGAATATTACACCATTTTTTTTGTTTTGATCGTTTAAAGGACTTCAACCTACTTTAAAAAAAATACGAAAATTAAAGTTAAATTCATTCTTGGAAAAATGTTCAGTTTTATGTTTGATTTTTTTTTTGACAATTTATTGAGTCATTATCTTAAAAGGGTATAAATCAGCTTAAAACCGTGCGATTTGCATCTAATATACTGATTAAATTTTACCATTTTGATTTCAGCTTTTGAAAAAACAAATACTTAAAAAAACACATTTTCCTTAAAATTTTGAAAATTAGTAATGGAACAACTGAACACTTTTAAGACTAACAAAATTTCATAGCTTATAATAAAAACAAAATACATGCGCATCAAAATTATGATAAAAATATAACTACGTGTAAATCGAATAAATCGAGAATTAATTTTTATTTTAAAGGTTTGTATCATATATTTACAATCCTTGCAGGGAATTGTGAAATTGATGGAACATCAAAAATGGTCTATGATAGCTGTTTTATATTTGGATGACCAACACGGTGCCGCAATGTATGAGAATCTAGTAAATCAATCTCAAAAATCAGGAATATGCTTGGTTTATACAGCTCAGTTGAAGGAAAAGGATGTAACAAAATCTACAACCCAATTAAAGCCAATCATTGAAGAATTAGAAAAGAGACAGAAGAAACTTGTTGACGAAAAGTTAAGTGTAGTGTTCCTGGGAAACACAAAAACAGCGAAAATACTTTTTGAATACATAAGTAACCGTGAAACCAACGTAATAATTCATAAACTGCAATGGATTTTGCCTTCAAATATAAATCTGGATTATACTCTGAAAAACACGTTGAAGAAGTCCTTAACTCAACAGCAACAGAGTCAACCAAAAGTCATACTTGTAGAAAAACAACACAGATCTTTGACATCTTTCAAAAATTTCTTCGTAGATGAGCTGGTGAATTCGAATAAGTACAATCAGTTGCCCAAACCTTATTTGGATCAGTATGAGCTTCAGATGTTGGGTCCCAACGGTGGAAATAAAAATGATCTTTCTGCAGTATACAGACAACCAGGAAGCGTGCTCCCTACCGTGACAGCCATTATGATGTTTGCTTCTTCACTGCGTAAAATGCAGAGAGAACTGTGTTCTACCCAAAGTAATTTACAATTTTGTCCCGAATTGCGATCTAATTTAACTAACGAGTTTCTCCGTCTTGATACATCGAGTTTTGAAGATATAGAAAACTCAAATGTCATTCCAGATGAATTGAAAAATCTCACTTTAACAAATGACAGTTTTGCGTTTTCTTTCCAAAGTCTTCATGATCTTAAATTCTCTTTGTTTGATTCTTCAGGCGCAACACTACAAAAGGTATACATATAAATGTTGCTGATGAATTTAAAATGTACAAAGTAAATTGAATTAGCACTGCAGTCACTGTAATTCAACTAATTAATCTAAAGTATATTTTTGTATTTTTTGTGCAGCTAGCAAGCCTCAAGAATGATGAAATAGTTGTATATGATGAATCCAAGTTGCTAGAGCTAACATCAGAATGCAAGTTAACCTGCGAAGAGTGTTGGAATACAGAAGACATTGAGTTTGCGTATATTCCAGGTGATGTTTTACTTCTGGGAATCTTCTCACTGCGGGAGGATGGATCAACATCTTCCACAGATTCGGCAAACAAATACAAATGTGGCGCATTCCGAAATTCTTACGCACCTATCACTGTCTCTTCATTTCTACACTCCATTGAAACCCTACAGGAGCAAAACCTTGCTAGTACTTCTGTCGGAGGCATTGCCCTAGATGACTGCTACAATCCACTAAGTATTTCGTATATCTTGTCTGAATTATTTACAGGAAAGCGTCACTTAACTGATCCAGAGTCTGGAAAGATGATTGACTTCAGTAGAGTTATTGCTGTCATTGGTGCACTGTCCAGTAAGGTTACACAAATAATAGCTGATCAATTGAGTTTACTTGATATCCCCTTGATATCTTATGGTGCTTCCTCTGCTTCTTTGGATGATAGAATCCGATATCCTTTATTCCTGCGAACAGTTCCAAGTGATCATTTCCAGGTCCAGGGTTTGGTCGACTTGCTAGAAAAATTAAAATACAGCCATGTGGGAGTTATATACCTAGACGACGCGTATGGTCAAAATGCCAAACAATCGTTTTTATCTATGACAGAGCACATGAAGATGTGTGTTGAGGAACCCCTTCCTATTACAGAAGATTTCACATCTCAACAACTAGAACAAATAATCGAAACATTGACTGCTCAAAGAGGTATTTTTATTATTACTTTATAAAATGCAATTTTTGAAATGGAATGAACGATAAAATGTGATAACTTCTTAACTGAATTTCATATTTTCTTTCAGTGAAAGTTGTCCTGTACATTGGAATTGACACGGTGTCTGAAATGTTGTTGGATAAGCTTAAGTCAAGTATTGCTGATGTTCATTTTACTTTTGTTGCCAGCGAAGGATGGGGAACAAATACCAGGATTCTAGCAGGGGACAGAGGCAAGGCTGCAGCAGGGGCCTTAGTTTTTGTCACTCACGACAGCTTCGATATGTCCAATTCTTTCAAGACCTACTTAGAAAATATTACCTCTTCTTCTCAAACTAAAAATCCATGGATGAGACAGTTCTGGCAAATAGTGCTCGAATGTGATTATCCGGGTTCCTTCAATAAACGGTATACTAAAACCTGTGGTACAGGGATCAAATTTTCAGCACAACAAGTTGAAAATTTCTCCAAATCCCAGAGAAGTGTTCATGTTCAAAAAGCTACCTTTGCTTTAGAAAAAGCTTATCGCCAAGTGATGAATGTTGTTTCATGCCAGACTTTTCGAAACCGGGATTGTGCCGACAAATTTATTTCTGCCATCAAATCCACTGAACTTGTGAAAAGTAACGGTGAACGATTAAGATTGTTTAAAGATGATGGAAATGGATACATGGGATTCATTGTATACAATATTCAAGCAGTCGGTCAATATAATTACGAATATGTTAATGTAAGATTTGTTATTTTACAAAACAACATCTACTTTTTCAGTTGCTCTACCTATGGCATTTAAATACCTTATTATATGTAATGAAGGGGACTGTCTTTTATTCAAATACAAACATTACACTGTTTTGTCATAATATATATATATGTTTAACAAACATGAAAAGAAACGTTAATATTTCCCTAGTAATCAATAACAAATATTATCTATTTTTACCTTCAGGTTGGTTCGTATTCATCAACAGATGGCGAAAAATTAAAATTAAACATTACAAGGATAAAAACGTACAAAGAGGGTAACCCTCCCATTCCAGAAAATGACCTACAAGCAACATGTGAAGCGGCAAGATCTTTGAGAGCGCCGTGCCTTGCAGTTTGTCCCGTGACATCCACCTTGCAGCCAACTACAACTGCAGCTACTACGCCTTTACCAAAGGAGCAGACGTCAGACAATAGTACTCCTCTGAACATCACCTTGGCTGTAGTGATAGGTGTTCTGCTGCTCGTTCTTATATTCCTAACAGTAATGATGTGTAGGCAACAGAAAGCCACTCAGTCATTCCAAAGTAAAGAAATGATAAGTAAGTTACTCTGCTTCTCCTCTCCTTTGTTCGAGTTAAATCTAATTAGTATTTTGTCAGATTAGGCTTCATGAATTGATTGAAAGTTTTAACGTCACGAATTTGTGATATTGGTCCTTCGTTATGATTTGTGAATAATAATAATAATGTTAGAAAAGTTGTTCGTTTGCAGTGAAAAGTCCAAGTTTGGGAAGTTTGAATATCTATGAAGAACCTTATAGAGAAAGACGAAAACGTACAACATCTTTTGAACATGGTGAGCACGTCAATTCTTCGACAAGCGGGGTAGTATCAATGAGATCAGGCCACTCTGGATCCCGAAATGTGTCCAACAGCACAACGCAAAGTGTTAAAACACCAATTAAATATTCCGACGTCTTACAGTTAGAAGTTCCATCAAACGATATTTTGAAACACGGATCGCGTGCCTCAGTTGCTACATATCTGGACCCTGCAGATAACAATATTCCCCAAATTCAGATTACACAAGATGACTCTATGTTAAGAAATCCCAAACACAATGTAAATGAACAACAAAGATCACGTTCATCTGACAATTTGGAAGATACAGATTCAAAGCTTAACTATATCCAAGCAAAGGATCTTGAAATAGAAGATGAGGACGAACTAGCCCAGCAAGAATTGGACTTAAATTATCGGCAACGTGCAATTTCACTGAATGATAGCGTGGTAAGTGGTCAATTTAATGACCCCTTTCAACGCCCAACTACTTTACCTGGGATATCGCCCCTCACTGTACCAGGCAGCAGAGACCAAATGGCGATCCCGTCCTATCAAGCACCAGTGCCATCCTCGCACATATCTCCCATGTACCTTGATGCTATTCATGACACTCAAGCCATGTATCCAGGTATTCCGATACAGTTTCAAGGAAATCCAAACAATGCACAACTTTTAATGGTTTCGCCTGGTACATATGTACCGGCTATGGGATACCCAGGAAATCCTTCCTCTGGTTATCAACATATATACATTCCAACTGCTCCACATTCAACTGCTGGTTACCAGATACCAACTTCTTTTGCAAACCAAGATGTTAGGCGACCACGAGGTTCATCCCTTTCAGCTGGTGTTCAGCCGTCTTCATTGAGTCCGCAAATCGCTTTTTTAAATACAAACCAAAGAAGTGATATGCCACAGAGTGTTCATGGTGTAGTTTTACGTAATAATAAAGAGGGTGAATTTGTGTCCAGCACTTTGCCAGCATACAAAAACAAAAGTAAAGATCAGAGAGAGCATTACCATTCTATGACGTCGATGCCTGACGTCATTTCTCATGAACATGATGATGGAACAGAAATTATGATTTAGAAAAACAAACATGTTATGGTTGACTTTAATTAAATGATGTTATTAATGCTTATGAATGATTTTTTTTAAAGTTAGCAATGTATAAATGGAAAAAATGTATATGCAAGAATGTTTTAGCCAAGGTTCATTTGAAGTTCTTCTAGAACTCTAAAATTTCGTATCCCATATTTTGTTTTATTTGTTCTTTAATATAAAACCTGTTTACAGTATTAGTTAGAAAATATAAATTTATATTTTGACAACTGCATAGTTGTACATCCACATATATTTAAGTATGAGCTCAACTGATATATGATTTCATATATCTGTTTTAACGCATATGATATTATATACAAAATGTTATTGTTATTCTTTATTTTATGTCTGCTTTTTGTTACATTTTAAATATTCGATATATATATTTTATTGTTATCAACAAATGCCTAATATATAGCTATACAAATATAAGAAAATAAAGAAAACTTTTGAACCAATGATTGTTAAACTTTTAATTTTTCATTTATGTTTGATGTGTTGATAATTTTTGTAAAAAAAGAAATCCGAAGCCAAAATATAATTATTGCGCTACCGCAAGAAACCTTAATTACCCACTCTCTTTATTTCGTCAATTTCACTTTTATCAAAAACTGATGCTTGCATTTTGCAGAGGTTCATTTTCCAAAGGCTTATCCATTATGTAATTCGCAAATGGATTTTTACCATTTCTTATGAAGTCATCGCTGTATATCACAATATCGATAAACATAAAAATATGATTTGAGATTTGAATGACAGTACTTCTTCCCAATTTTAAATGCGTTGTTACGAATTGCGTAGTTTATAAAGGATGTATGTTCATCGCCAGGAACGATAACTCGTAAATAATTGTTTTATTTTAAAATGTAAAACTCATAATAAAGCTTGTATTTGAAATCTATTTGTTCAACAATTTCTATTTCATGCATAAAGGAAAGATTCAAGCTTCTTTGAAGTTTTAAAAGCAGACTTGTATATAGATATTATTAACCGACCAAAAAAACCCAAAACATATTGAGTGAAAACAAATTTCCTTTATCTACCCTTAAATTCCAATGATTTTAGCAAGATATGAAGTTAGAAGTAATATGTGATGTATATATTAAATATTCCATGTATTAGCTTTTCAAGCTCTATATTATGTATACAGATTTTAACAATAAGAAGGCTTAGAAATACTACACAATTATTGAAAAGATAAATTATTGCCTCAAAGTCCTTGGATACCTATAATTTATTTTATTTTTTATTACCGAACTATTTTGGTGATCAATGTTCAATTAGGAAATGCAAGCTGGTGCTTCTATTTGCATTTTTCTAAATTTTTTTTGAGATACATACTTGTATGATTAATTTCCTTCTATGATTTATTCAGGCATAACAGTTGATAATGCCGAACTTTGAAGAAATACCATGATTGGTTTAAGTACTAAATGCACATTGCTCTGAACTCAGAGTCACTTTTGTGAGTATTTTCAATTACTTAAGGACTTGATCAGACGACTTTAATATCCTCGGCAAATGATTGTCTATGCTAGTGTATCAATTTTTAACTATTGCTAAAGTAAATAGGGAAAAAAAAACTATGATGACTTCCATGAAATCCATATGTCTGCAAGATTTGATTTTCAAACAGTATATTAAAATTGAATCCTATATAGTGTGATGAACAAAAAACAACAAAAGCAAAGAAATATTTATTCACTATAAATACAAAAATTATTTAAATCATGTCTTAGGAGTTTCAAAAATAATACATTTAAGACCTATAACCATGAACAGGGCAAGCTTTTTCATTTCTCTTTATTCTATTAATTTTGCAAAAATCTCTCTTCAGATCTTCATTTTCTTCTGCGATGTTTGAAACTGGGTCATAATTTGTTAAATGCAGTCTCTCATTGAGTCTAATGTGTATATTATCCTCGGAGACTTGATTTATCGATTCTGACAGAATTTCAGATGAATGTGTACAAGGCTGCGTAGAACGATCAGCTGATTGGTTGAATAGGTTCATCTCTTCAGCCTGGGACTTTTTCCTTCTCCGTTCAAGAATCGGGGAAACTGATTAAAAAATAAAAACATCAACTTTATGATTATTAAAAATTCTCAAGATATCGGTTTAATTCAAAGAAAACTTATTACTTCTGTTCGATATTATATACATGTATGTTGATTCTAGAAACTCAACATAATAGAAAATCACACAGAACAAGGTACTGTTTCGACACAAATTTTGCCTTGATTTTTATAAAATATGGAAATGATGTAAGAAATTAAAATTCATCTTTTCGGAATTATTGAAATACCATGCTGTAAAACCCTACACATAGATTTTCCTACATGCTGATTGTGAAATCATGATCTTGTGCATTTTCCCGTATTTTCTTAAAAAGCTGCAGAAGACAACATTTTTCTCTTAAAACATTTGATATCATTTGTACAAACCATTTTTCTTCACTGCAATATACATCACAATTAAAAGGATTAGAGCAATTAAGCATCCAATGATAATAAACGGGGTATTGCTTGTCTCCTCTTGACTTTTATTGTGCATTATCATCACATCTGTAAAAGAGAATGTTTATTTTAAGTGTCATGAAACAAAAGTTTGATCGAATAGCTAATACCATGTTTGGAAACGCGCAAGAATAGATAGCTATATTCCCTGAATATTTAACATCCATGCAATTTTCGAAATACATAGTAAATAAAACTTAAGACATTCAAAATCAAAATATTGACATGTTCTGGTCATATGAAGCCAGATTAACACAACCTTTAACATTAGTTTATCGTACAATATTGCATACATGTATCATGGAATGTTTAATTCCAATAGTTTATCTATAAATAAGGAATTCGAAGAACAAAAGTAAATTTTGTGTTCAATATTAAATCTTTGCCAATCATCAAGATATCTATAGAGCTGTACCTTTTCCAGGAGGTCCTGGGATCTCTATCACAGGAGAATACGACTCAGCGTAGAAAGATCCGTCCTCCATATCCATAGAGGGGCAATTAATTTCTACCTGTAAATATACATGCATGTCAATCAATATACATTTTAGATGTGTAAATAAATAAAATTTATTCAAAAATAAATTACATTTTCAAATTTACTACTTTAATCGATTAATCCTAATATGTTCCATTCAAAATTACAAGGATTGATATTTAAAATCTTGCCAACTACAGTATAGAAACGGAATATAATTACCTTGATATAGTATTCCCCTGGAAGTATGTCAAAAAATGTGCATACATTTGTGTGAGAAATCTAAAGGAAATAAATTTTATCATGATCAGAAAAATAGGATTAGTTTTATATCAAGAGGAAACAAAACGTAGTTAAATAAAATGTTCATTTTATAGGCTGAACATTTATTTCATTATTGTTTTTTCAGGAATCACTAATTAGATTCAGAAGTTTTTCTTCTTTAACCTGGTTAACACTTAACTAAATTTTTTTCATCTTTTTGTGATTTCTAAATAGGCAATGTGGATCGGAATGAAATACCTACCATGTCAAGTTTTTCTGGACATTTCCTAATGAATTTCTCACATGTTTTGTAATCAGTGTCATTGCACAAGAACAGACGTTTAACACACATGAATTGAGGTGTGTAAAAGACGACATGGATATCGTTTTTCTTTGGAAAATTTGAGACAGCTACTGCAAGATTGTCTTTAAAATAAAATTAATTAAAACGAATTATGCAATTAGCAATATCAAAATATCTATTGAATAAAAAAAAATGTAATAATAATTAATATATTATTTCATATTCTGTCATTTTTTTAAACTACTCAATAATGTCACACTTTACATGTTTGAATATAAATTACATGTATATGAAAAACATATCTCACCTTTTGAAAAAGACAGATAATGTTCTGTTGACAAAGGGGTCATATGAGGCTGATATAATGTTAGAAGTAATGTATATGAGACAGGCCAGTGCTTGATATCTTGAAGACAAAGACGATTTTTGATAGTTACCTAAAAGAAACGAAGTTATACCAATTCATAGATATAATACTTATAATAACAAAATTTGCTTGAATTGAAAATACACTGTAAATGAAATAAACTTACTGCACGTGTTGAGGAAAAATTAAATATTCGTTTCTTTGGAAATCTTTCATAAAATCTATCGTTTTCTCCATGTTTGCTTTTGCTGCTCAGTTCCAGATATAGAACACGTTTGTTCTCTGTGAGAATAATTTTAACAATTAAAAGCTGAAACATCCCTCCTTGAAATAAAAAAGCATTAATTTTATTAATTTGATGAAAAGGTAGCATACAAGTTAAATCTGATCAGAAAAATTTTGAAAAATTAAATATAGGTGAAAAAGAAAATCAAATTATGAATAAAATAAGAATTATACACTGTAGAATGTTGATTCAATTAATAGAATTTAAAATACTTTCTTCAGCTGTTCCTATTTGAAATGAAGATTTGATCATATGCCCTATTAACCTATACACACCCTGTATATAGAAACATTTCTTGGACGAAGTTTTTTTTTTTATTTGGGTGTGTGTGCATCTTTCTAGCTTGTTCTTACCACTACTTTCAGGTATTCTGACGTGAATTTCTAATCCGTGTGTGACATTTTCTAGACCCTTGCTGTTGTACTTAGTTATTTCCTGATGGGGAGTCTTGGAATAATCTTGAAGTCTCAGAAATGTTAGCTTAAGTTTTTCATGGAGCAGTCCTATGGGTGGATGGTCGTATTTTTCGAGAATTGCATACTTCTTCTTGAATTTCTGAAACTCTTTATAAAGAAAAATATATTGATGAAGATGATTAACATCTCTTGATAAAAAATTAGAAGGCCGTGAAGAGGATAAAAATAGAGAAAAAACCTGAATGAGATGTGGGTTTTGCGAAAGACTGTAAACATTATTTTTGGGATAATTTATAAATATTTATTTCTTTCTCCAATGAAACTTTCAACACATTTGATAATTAAAATATTACTTCAATCTGCATTTAAGGGATCCATAAATTACCATATAGAGAGATAAAAAAAAATACGAACCATTTTCATATCCCACGGTGCAGGTAAAGTTCTCAGTTGTCGGATGTGATATCTGAATAATGAAATACTCCATTATATTTTGTTCATGATGTGTATCTGATGTTAAAAAATTATTTCTATAACAATGGGAAAATAATATAACATAAAGTGCAAACAACAATCAACAAATACGGTATATCACAAATTTAGCAGTAAGAGCAATATTTACTCCTCGCCATACCCGCTATTTTAATTTTTAGGAAAACGGTATTCTTGTAAGTTCTGCTACGAGTTAAATATAATTTCTTGTCTTGTCTTTTTTAAGAACCTTTATTGATTTTCTTTGTGTTTTAATCTTTATTATTGTTTTTAATTAATATTCAAATGCAGTTTATTCAACTATTTACTTTTTTTTTTAACTTTATTCTATTTATTTCATTGGGTTTTTTTTCATTCATTAATCCCTACGTTTTTCTCTCTTTCTCTACATTTAATATCTAATATGTATCACTTGCCTCAGGAAAATTGACAATTTCTATTGAAAAATGTTGTTAACTAAAAATTATTTATTGAAAAAATAATCAATTTTAACATTAAAATAAACATTAAAATAATAAAATTTTTATGAACATATAGTTTTGGGTGACTGAATGCTTCCTGTTGTTAATTTTGTTATAAATATAAGCGAAAATTAAACTGTGTCAACATCCTCTTTTTGAGGAAAAAATATTTAATCAAAAATGTATCACTTTATGGCATGGTTGTTGTTTTCTGTACCTTTTACTACACAAACAAATAAACAGGACTGTGTAAAAAAGCAATTTTAATTGAGTGCAAATATTTCTTTTTAAAGCGTATTTCAAAATGATGTATTTGATGTTTGTCCGTGTAACACTTAACAATTCAAATTTCTAAAACGATTTAGAGTTTTAGAATGTTAATATAATAGTTCAAATTTCTAAATTTCAAAAACTCAAACTGATTCTTATATTGGAATTTAATATTTTAGTTCAAAACCTAAATTTTCAAATTTCCAAACAGGTTTTAGAATTTTAGAAATTTAGATTTATACCTTAAACATTCAAAATTCAAATTTCCAAAAACAAATTTTGTATTTCAAAATTTGAGCTTTTAGCCTACTGTTTATTTAATAAGTGTACGCTTAACAATCTAAAATTCAGTTTGACGAGTTTTGATATTTCAAAATTTACTTCAAACTTCTAAATTTCAAATTTCAAAACGTTTTAGATTTTATTAAAATTTAGAATTTTGATTCAAACATTCAAATTTCAAACAACCAAAACACTTGGAGGTTTTAGATATTTACTTCAAATATCCAAAATATCAAGTTCCAAACCTGGTTTGAATTTTGAAACTATTACAAAAACACTGTTGGCTAAGCAAAGGAGCTTTAAGATAGTTAGAATATTGAGCTGATATTCAAAAATCAAATCGGGTTTAGAAACTTGGTATTTTGGATTGTTAAAGTAAAATTCTAAAACTCAAAGTGTTTAGGTTATTTGAAATTAGCATATTTGAACTAAACTTCCAATTTTCTAAAAATCTAAAAGGTTTCAAAGTTGGATTTTAGAAGTTTGAAGCTGATTTCAAATAATCAAAAGACTAAACTTTCTGAGCAAACAGTAGACTAAAAACTCAAACGTTTAGATTACAAAAATCGTTTTTGGAAATTTGAATTTTGATTTTTTAAGGTAAAAATCTAAAATATTAAAATCTTAAAAACCTGTTTGGAAATCTGACATTTTAGATTTTTGAACTAAAATATTAAATTTTAATATACCAAATCATTTTGAGTTTTTGAAATTTAGAAATTTGAACTAATATATTAACATTCTAAAACTCAAAATCATTTTAGAAATTTGAATTGTTAAGTGTTACACGGACCGATGTTACATACGATTTTTGTTTAAATTTTAACTATTGTCAATAGCGCAGAACTTTGATTTTAAAAAAATACATATTGAGTTCCGCTTTCCGAGTTTTCCATAAGAAAACTTATTTTCGTATAAAGTTCATACTAAGGCTAGTCCTCTTTGTGGAAAAATTCCACTATTAATTAAACCGCATTTTTTCTGTAAATATGATGCTTGCCGAAATTCGACTTTGAAACGCATCAATTACCGGGTAAGGCGAATGCCATGGCAACCACTTGTGACAAATAAAATTACACCAGCGTATTTCACGGACCGGGTCATTTTTCAGCATTGTATAAATGTTACAGCTGGTATTATAAGAATGCTGTCAACCATTTTACGCTTCAGGTATAATGGAAAAAATCGGATATATCACGCACATCACTTGCCTGTTCATGTGTTTGTCTTTTAAAAACAGTATTAACTTTGTACACTGCTGAAAAATAATACATGTAAATATTTTGTACTTTTAAGTAGTAGAATTTATCATGTTTACATATGTTAATAATGTTTGGTGTAACATTTTCCGAGCATTTGAAGATAATTATATTACATATTATACAACCTCAAGTCATACCACAAAAAAATGTTACCACAGGGAACTTTTACAATAAAAATTACAAATTAATTTAGAATTCAGTAAACCCAATTTACATGTAGTTATATTTTATTGTACCAAAAATAAAACAGGAAGGATAAATCGCCAACATCCCTTAATGGCCTTATGACAGCTTAGGCGATGTTAGGTATAAGCGAGTAGTTTGCTATGACAATATCAAATCTTACCGTCATAAAGCAGTTCCTGGAATAACACAGCGAGGTCCAAACTTCACGTGAAGTTACGCTGACCAGCAACGTAGCCAGTGTCCAGCTCGAAATCATCCGCGGATCGCGGGGTAAAATCCCTCAGACCGACATGTGTGTCTAGATAGAGCAATCGGTCGATGGGATAGCATGACATGTGAACAAACTATGGGGATTTAAATCTGTTAATTCACGTGTATATAATCCTCATATTTCTTCCGTGTTCACTTTCTTCTTCAAATTCTTCTTTTTCATTGTAAATCATATCTTGTCAAACAAACATTAATTTTTTTAAAATGAAATTGCGTGAATGTCGATCCAGATGGTTACATTTCAGGATATTGCTTCCCGGTGCAAAATCTAGATGTATTGTATTTTTTAATATTATGCATTGTATTGTCAGAGAACTTTATATTAATTCTAATTTAAAGGAAATATTTTAATGAAAATAGTTTTGGGTGACTGAATGCTTCCTGTCGCTAATTGTGTTCTAAAGACAAGCGAGAATGCGTGTCAGCGTCCTCTTTCTGAGGAAAAATATATTCATGCCTACCTCTTTATCTTCGAAATGGACGTATTTTCCCCTCCAAGTATACCATGTATACTGTACCGGTTACTTTTTAATCCTCTTTGTGCTGGTTAGCACATGAGGCCGTCACCAGAGACTTCCACGTTGGCCTGTCTTGTGTCCATCTAATTTGGATCTGTCCCCATGTTCAGCTATTTTCTTTTATCTCTTTCTCTACAGATCTTCTCCATGTTTCTTTTGGTCTTCCTCTCTTTCTCTTGCTAGATGGCGTCCATCTCAATGAAACCCTTGGGAAGGTGGTTGGGTGCATTCTACATATATGTCGTATCCACAGCCATTTCCTTTTCTTTATAACTTGGGGTAGAGGAGTGATTAGTCTTTTCGTACAGCTCTTTGTTTGAGATGGTATTAGGCCAGAAGATGCGTAGTATTCTGCGAAGTCAACGTGTCTGGAAGGCATCTCGCTTGTTTGAAATGGCTTTTGTAACTTTCCATGCTTCAGCACCATATAGGAGGACCCCAAGCATGTTGCTCTTGAAGATCCTTATTTTGGTATTTACTAAGTATGCTGATCTTTGCTGACCTCCAGATTTTTCTTAGTGCAACAAACGCTCCTGTGACTTTAGAAATCCGAGCTAGCACATCTACCTCAGAGTTCCCATCTGCAGCGATCTTGTATCCTAGATGGAAAAATTCTGTGATCTCTTCTATATTTTCATTATTTAGGGAGATTAGAACAGACATCCCTGTTTTACTCCAGTCTTCGATTTAAACTCCTCTGATAGGTTTGATCCACAGGTAACTCTGGCATTTATATCCGTGTACAGCATCTTAATGATGGAGATGATTTTATCTGGAATTCCATATGACATCTGAGAATTTTTTCTAAGGCTAGGCGATTAACACTGTCAAAAGCTTTTGTAAAGTCGATACAGTTGATGTAAAGTGAAGAGTTCCATTCATTGCTATGCTCTAATATTTCTCTGATAGTGAACATCGGCACATGACCTTCCCTTTCTAAAACTTGCCTATTCTTTCCGCAGTAGAGGATCTGCTATGTCTGTGATTCTGTTCAATATCACTCTGCTTAGCACTTTCTTGGATACCGAGAGCAGCATTATCCCTCTATATTACCCTTGTTGCAGTTTGAAAGGTCTCCTTTTTTGGAAGTTTTACTATAAGGCCTGTTCTCCAGAAAGTTGGTGTCTCCTCTGATTTCCCATATGTTCTGTAGAATATTTGTCAAGATGGTAGGTGTCCAATATTCTTCGGCCTTGACGAGCTCTGCATTTATCTGGTCAATGCCAGCAGTCTTTCCATTTCTAGTTACCCTATTGCCTTTTTCACCTCTTCTACAGTGGGTGGATCTGTATTAATATCCAATGTGTTTATAGCTGGGGTTATCAGGACCTTATTTCCTGTATCATTTGTAGGGAACACTTCTTCAAAATGTACTTTCCATCGTTTCTGTATATCTTCTTCTTTTGATAAGACATTTCTTTTTTTTTTTTTTTTTTTTTTTTTGTCTCTTACCGGTAAATATGATGACTGAAATTTATCTGCTAGTGTTTTGGTGATTCGATAGAGGGTCTGCATATCTTGTTTTGAAGCTGCTTGTTCTGCTTCATTAGCTAGTTTTTCAGTGAATCCCTTCCTGTCTGCTCTTTCATTTTTCCTTACTTATGTCTTTTGTCCAATATTCCGCTTGGAGCAGATCTTTTTGTCTCTGATTTAGTGGACAGGATTTTTTTTTCTTTTCTTTACGTTGCTGTATTCTTCCTCTTTTTTGCTCTTTCTTTTCCAAGTATCTAATAGAACCTCATTAAATGTTTCCATATCATTTCATCTGAGTGGTCCATAAGAGCCGCAAACTTGTTCTGGACTTTTAATTGAAAAGATCTCATAATTTTCGCATCTTTCAGCTTTTGGATGTAATAGGAGGCGGTCTTTGATCTTTCTTCCTTGATTTCCTTGGTGTCAACTTGACTTTAGCTAATACTAATGAGTGGTCAATTTCCACGTCTGCTCCTTGTTTTGCAACCACATCCAGGAGGCTTCTTCTACATCTTTTATTAATAATGACATGGTCATTTGGTTTTTCTTAACTATGACCATATGGGAAGTTCTTTTGCATTTAAGTCTCCCAAGATAAGCAGGAAATGGTGTATTGTCTACTATCTCTTGTAAGCTGTCGTAAAAAGAGACTTTCTTTCTCATCGTCTTCTACATCATCTATTGGTGCATAGGATACCACTACAGTAAGTTTGGCAAAAGTTGAGTTGAATCTTGCTGTTATGATCTGTTCATTCACAGGCTTCCATTGTAATAGACTTTTATGAACTTCTTTTGTTGTGATTATTGCTACTCCTCTATTATTATGCATGTTCGTCAGTTCTTCCAGAGTAGAGTATTTGATGTCCTGACACTAGTTGTTTTAACTTTGACCCCGTGCCTGTCCATCTAGTTTCACTTACTCCAAGAGGCTGGATCTTGTTATGCTCCTTCTCTCACCACTTACAAGTGCTAGTTTTCCTGTTTGGTAGAGGGTCTGCACGTTCCAGCAGCCCACTCTACGTGTTTTTTTTAATTTATTTTTTGTTTTTGTTTTTTTTTTTGGTCGAAGGACATCTCCTATCAGGGTGAGAGATTCGCGCGTCATACTATCAGTATCCTGAGTGTCTCTGGTTAAGGTTTCTGTAGCTGCATTGTTTGACATGTTAGGGTTGTTGGCCATAAGCAAAAATCCCTGAACTCGGAAGCTCGGAACAGTGGTTTTCTTTCAGGGTTGTCCTTCCCTTAGATGATTGCGTTCCCCTGATTTTGTGCTCATCTACACGGATTTTCTGTCTGGATTATCTTCCATAGCCTTTGTCTTTCCCAAGCCTTCCCACAAGGCAGTGGGTCTAGTTGACCCATAGCTGGGGACTAGGATTACAGGCATCAGGGCATATCCACATGCCGGTGTACCATGCATGCCGTGCATTTAGGGGCCTAGTCTCCTCCAAGATCTTGTGCTGCTTGAGACCGTAAGGTACCCAATGCCCATCTGCAACCTCGAGGAGGATCCCATATCTGGGCCACATAGGTCTAACTGCGGAGATGCTATATACCTGACTGAGAAGACTTGCATATTTTGCCAGGGGCGTAGCCAGGGTACATTTGATGTGGACGCCTGGATAGGCTGGGGTTTGGGGGCCGCCATAAGGCCCCCAAAGGGTCCAGGGCGAAGCCCTGGTTGGGGCCCAAGGGGCGAAGCCCGCGGAAGGTGGTGAATTTTCGACGATTTCGATATACATGTTTGACCCTTCTACTAGCATTTTTCTTGCACTTTTTCAGTTTGTTACGCAGTCACATTTGTTCTTTCCTTGTACAAAATGCGGACAGTCACTCAAAAATGAGAAAAGATCTGTCCAAAAGCAAACCCACTAAAACAATTTTAGACTTTTGAAGCTCGACAAAATACGTATGGTAACATACGGTAGTTGGTTAGAGTGGCGTAATTGACTGATAGTCAGCTACAGTGCAGGCTTACATTAATATTAAGAATTACTCTCTAAAGATTGAAAATAACAAAGACAGAGGAATTCTTTTCAACACATTTTCTTACACATTACTTATGTACATTGTATACATTTTAAAATAAATGTTCATAAATATTCACAAATCTGGTATCTTAAACTTTTTGCAACAATTATAAAAACATGTAAAATATACTACTGCATGGTTTTAAGGTAGTGTACAGATGTCAATACTTAAATAGGCCTTATTATTTTTTTTTTTTAAGGTTAAATTGAACTTTACCAATTTTTCGCTTTTGATGTTCATATATAAAGCTGAATTATGATTTTTTAAGTCTCGCATGAATCCGATATTAGGTTAAAATTGGGGGGGGGGGGGGTTACCGTTTCAGAAGTTAAGCATTTGCGATTGGAAGTCAATTTCCATTAAGAGAAATTGAAATTGTTGGCATTAAATAAAATTATTGTTTGTTTTAAGGGAGCGGACGGCCAGGGTTTTATTATGTGCCATCTACAATAGAGAAACTCTTCAAGAATGTAATTACACTTGGAAAAAAATCAGCAATATTCTATAGTAAACCAAAATACGGGAAATTCTTTTGATTTCAGTGAGGTGTAAAATATCGTATTTCCCCCTAAAACTGATTCTGTTGATTTTCATTTAATTTTTTTATCGTCAATTCTTAATATTTTGCAAAAATGATGGGTACGCTTTACAATATTACGCCTGCCTCGCTCTCCTCTCCTCCCTCTTTTTTTTTTTTTTTTTTTTTTTTTTTTTTGAAAATGATGTGGACGTTTTTGCGTACAAACGTACGCCTGGCTACGCGCCTGTTTGCTAACTCTCTCGCAGCGAACTGCTAGTCATGGGGTGGAGCTGAAAGCGAGAGTGACAAGCACAGAAACAGACAGACACACACACACACTGCATGTACGCATCACACAATAATTTTCGGGTAACAACTTTGCCATTAAATTGCTATATATGAGTATTAATCTAGTTGAATAAGTTGTGTATCTGTATTATTTGGGGGATAAGCGTTAAATTTTGCCTACGTTCAATCGTACAGCAACAAAAGGTTTGGGGGAAGCCAATTAATTTACATGAATTTACATACAAACTATTAAATCTTCATTTAAAAGGCTACATGAAACGGAGGTATGTGGGGTTTAAATTGTCCCTCCCCGATTTTTACAAACATTATGATCTTCAAATTTATTATATCGAAAATTATCATTGAAAGGTTGCAGCTTATCCCATTTTTTTATTGTAGC